CGACGATAGACCTGGTAACCCAGAGGGTTACTAAGTGACTAGCAGTGCACAATTTAAAACACATGAATTGGTTATTTCTGGAAATTTCCATCTAATATTTTCAGACCGCAATGGACGCAGGTAACTGAAACTGTGGACTGGGGGGCTACCGCCCTAGTGACTACTAAGGTCGTGATGAGAACAGCTGCCATTAACTGGGTGCCAATTCTGGAAGACGAGATAGCTCCTCCTTGGAATAGCTGGCAAGTTTGGTACCGACACTCTCATCATTACCCTCAGTCTACAGATCAAAGAGCCAATTCATTCAATGTTTGTTTATCGAAGTGCAAGTGTCGGGATCCCAACTTAGCTCTGCCTGACTCCCACACTATGTTCCGCCCATTGCCCTTCCCACGGTGCCAGGCGTCAAGGCGAGCAGAGGGTAGGTGCCGAGAGTGATACAACTACAGAGAGGTTTGCAGGAAGGAGAAGAGTGAAGCCTAAGGAAGCGAAAGCCTTCTTTGCCTTCCTGACTAAGCCAGCGTGCAAAAAAAAAAAAAAAAAAAAAAAAGAACAAAAGGTTCCGGTGCACTTTACCACTGGCTGACTGACTTGGTGTAAGAAAAGGAGGGAGAGGGGGGGCAATCCTATGCCACGCCCTCCTCTCCATCCCCTCACCTTTCCCCTGCCTAGAAAGAGTGGCATTAATTTTCCAGTTAGTGACATTTACAAACTATTACAAACCAAATCTACTGATGCTCCTCTCTGTTAATATTTTCCAAGGCCTGACTTGGAAAAAGGCTCTTGCAAATTATGATTTTTTTATTGTATTGAGAGATACACGTAAAATACATATTATCATTTTATTTTTGTATCTAAACACTGAATTTCACTGCCATATGTCCCCTCCCCCCACAAAACCTAGAAGCACTTGAGGCCCAAACAAGAAGATAAGCACCAAGCTTGGGCTTGGGGGAGGCCTCGGAAAGGTGAGCGTATGAATGAAGACAATAAAAGAGAAGAGAAAGATGACAAAGAGCCTCGGTGACCCCAAAAGAGGAAGAGAAGAGCGTGGAAGGAAACAGGGAGAGGAGAAGAGGATGCGGGAACAGGAGCAAGTGGTACTAAGCACAACAGAAAAAGTCAAGTAAGTGAAGGACAAAGCAGGCTGAAAACCCACCAATTACAAATCCTAAAGAAACAAAGTCCAAAGGAGGAAATGTCACAAATAGCAAAATGGGCGGTTGAGCGGAGGAGGGGTCTCCTGCGAGGCAGACAAGAAGCTTCCTTCCCCGTCACCACCAGCTCCCACTCCCAGTTCTTTTCTGGAAACCTGTCCCTCTGAGCATTTCCCAGGCTCCAGTCTGAGAAGAATGGTCCCCGACTTGAGGAGTTCAAGTCCCACAGAGCCTCCCTCCCCAGGACTCTTAAGGCATCATGTTGTAAGGAGCTGTCTCCCTGTTGGGCTCCCTGGCAGGCACTAGAGTCTTGGAAGCCAGAGGCCACGTCTTACTAATGTCTGTATCTCCACAGCCCAGGATGGTTCCTGGAAATAATAGATGCTCAATAAGTATTAAAAGAATGTACGAAAAAACGAATGAAAGCTAGTCTATCACAAAGTTCCCCCAACAGCAGAGGCACTGGACTCGACAAGAGAAGAGAATCTCAGCACGAATTATCGGGCTCCCGCCGCCCAACGCAACAAGAAGCCTCAGAAACTTTTCTCCTCATAGAAATAAATGTCCACCCAGAAAGCCTGGCTCTGTTTCTGCACAGTCCTGGTTCCAATCCTGCGCTGACCTCACTCTGCTGTTATGAAGCTGAAAGCTGATCGCTTTATAAAATCAGATGTGCGCTCTTTCTCCAGGAACATGAACTTTCTCTGAATCTTTAAGTAAACTCCTCCAATTGTCAAAATACTTGTCGTATGATCAATTTTTTCTCCTTTGTGCACAGGATACTCCCTGGGTCTTGTCTTCCCAGTGTTTTGATTTCAACACCCCACCCCCTCCCTCTGCCTGCCAAGAGGACAGCGGCATCTCCCCATAGCCCGGCCCAGACTTGTTTTCATGCACAGCAACTCTGTCAGTCAAAGGGGAGTGGGCTCCAGTGCCTGCAGGTCATGTCGCTCTAACCGCTCTCCTTTCGGGCACCCCAGCACCTGGAGCTCTAAAGAACCAAGCCCAACCCTTTCCTAGATGCATTCTCTCTGTGGAAACCACATTAAAGTGTGATCAAGTAGAAAGAATTACTGCCCTGGCTGGGTAGCTCAGTTGGCTGGAGTATCAACCCATGCACCAAAAAGGTCGCAGGTTCAATTCCCAGTCAGGACACATACCTAGGTTGTGGGTTCAATCCCTTCTCAGAGTGCAAATGAGAGGCAACTGATAGATGTTTCTCACCTCTCTCTCCCCCACTTCCTCCCTCTCTAAAATCAATAAACATATCCTCAAATGAGGATTTAAAAAGTAGTTTAAATATTTAAAAAGTCACCAGCCATTTTTCAGATCTCTGGGAGAATCAAAAAAACAGGTGACTCTAAAGGTGCCCATCATTCCCAGATGCCTCATAAACAAAAGGCGGTTTACAAACTAAGCACATTTCTAAAAACTTCTTATCCAAACAATCTACATATATAGTATATACATATAATCACATTTTAGTCTGAGATGCATTGGTTACACCAACATTATAGGCCAGATTTAAGCAGAGCAGCTCATACATCTGACTGGAAGGATTACTACTGACCCTCAAAAAGTAACAAAAGTCCCTCTTGTGTTGGAGTGCAGCAGGAGACTCCTTCGGGTTCCCGGAGACCACATCTGCCTCAGTCTAGAAAGCACAGCTGTGCGCGCATGTTCTCATCGCATACTGTACCTTCCCGGGGGAGCTCAGGAATGAGCAGTTCCTAAGACTCTGAGAATGCAGCAGGCTCTGAAGTCTGCGCTGGCAAGGAGGTGAGGGAGCGATGTTTACTCTAAAGCGGAAAGCACATACGTGCAGGATGGACCTGCCAACACAGCCTCCCCACTTTCTGGCTTTGCCCTCTAGATGCCTAAGAGAAAGGCAGCTTCTAAAAGTCACATCTTGCGCTTCATTGCTTCTGACTCAAGCGGTCATACATCTTGTACCTATTATGCATGGTCAACATGGTCCCCTGGGGATCGCGCACACACCACTGACAAACAGAAGCTGTCATGCCGTTTGATGGCTTCTTCTTCAAAAGGCAGATCATTCCCCTTGGCATGGCCCATGTTCCCAGCAGGAGTCCTCCTCCAAGGGCTGGTTCCGAAAGTCAGCTTAGCCACTAGGCAGCAGAGACTAAGGTCTGGTACTTTCAAGCCAGCGAGTGACTTCCACAGGGGCATCCCAGAGAGCAGAAGAACAACAGCTGCTTTGCCCATTAAGATATCCTGTTCTCAGCCTTTGCTTGCTTCCCCCAGCAATCTGACTGCCGAGCTGGCCTGTGCGCAGAGGTCAAAACCACCTCCTCTGTAGTTTCTCCGTGACTCAGGCCGAGCTCGCAGGGGCTGGGCAGTGGCTGCTCTATAGAACTCAACTGAAAGAATGAGAGCAAGGAAACAGACTCAGGCCAAAGACATCCCTAGCGAAACCAGGTGGTGGGAGGAGAAGGCTGGGAAGGGAGGAAGTTCAGCTGCAGGAAGGGACTAGCTGTGCCAAATGGGTTAGTGTGGAGGACTCCAGCTCCGGCCCCCAGTGCGCCGGTCCAGCTTTGAGGGGCCATTTGGAGATAGTGGAGACTCAGAGCCCCGCAGGTAACCCTGGGTTCCGCGCCATCCCGAGAGCGCTGCGGTTAAAATAACAAAGCAAGAGCATGGCACGGGTTCGAGTCACAACCCCCCAAATCAGAGGAAGCAGGTCACGTGACTGTCCCTCTTCCTCCCAGTCTCCTGTATCTAAGAAATTTCAAGAATCCAAAACCTTCACAGTACCCCATCACTCCAACATCTACAAATCTAAACTTTCACAGGTCCATAGCAAAGAAAGCAGAGCTGCCTTTCTGATCCTCTTTCTACTCCCAGCCTTCAGTATCTTTCCAAACGTGTGTGTAGCGAGGGTCTCTAAATGCTCTCCACTGAGCTCACACCACTTCCGCGCTGCCAGGGGCAGAAGCGGGAGCTCGGCAGTCAAGAGCGGCCACAGGAAGTTGCAGTGATTTGGGTCCAGAGCAACCCTGCCCGCTCTGTTCATAGATGCCTCAGGGCAAACCCTCCGCTGACAAGGACAAGGGAAAATTCAAAGAGATCTTCCCAACTCAGTTCCAAGTGAAACTCCAAGCTCCTAACAGGTGCCCTAACTAGCCTGCCTGCTCTGCATGCACTGGAAGCCCCTCACATAGAAGAGCGCCCGGCACAAAAGGGTGTAGGAGAGGCAGCAATGACAGACGGAATGGTCCCAGTACTTGAGTCTATCACTGCCACCTGCAGAATATCCTAAATGATTCCCTCCCTCCCAGTGCAGGTTTTCCAGGCCCAGCACAGAGAGGATAAGTGAACATGTTAGCCATGAGAAATGCAGCCAGGTGCTCAACTGGGCCGTTTGGATTACCTTCCAGTTCTACAAGCAAGAGGAGGAAACCTGAGTGTCTGAAATGACTTAGACGCCCCCATAGAAAGGGGCGGACTTTTTCCCTCCAACGCCATCCTAAGAGCGCCTCCTATCTGCCTTGGGAACGAACTGCAGCTCCTGGGCGGCAACTTCCTGGGTTCCGGCCCCTTGGCGCCAGATCTGGGAGGCGCTGATTGGCCACGCCAGGCCAACACCTTCTGAAGGAGCAAGCACTCCTCCGATCGCCCACGTGCATCCAGATGCACGTGAGCCAGAGCTCTGCAGAGCACAGGAGCGGGCTTTCCCTGAATGACCCACAGTGAGAGTTGGAAGACATCAATGAAATTTAAACTTGGGGCATTGCGCAGCACAAAGGGCATCTGGAGAGCTAAGGACAGTAATCGTAAGAAAATGAAGCTATCTGGGTCCAGAGAGGTGACGGGTCAACTTACCTGCCTGGTGAAGAGGATGGCTGTGTCCCAGTACTCCGCGTGCTTGTCACTCACTTTGTTCAGTTTCTTCTGCCAGGCACAGAAGTTGCGCAGCGTCAAGGCCGCGTTGCCGGTAATCTTGGGCCCTGCGTCGCGGTCTCCGAGTAGCAGCACCTTGACTACGACGATGTTGATGGGGTTAAGAATGCTGGGGTGGCGGTAGAGTCGCGCCGCAGTGGCCAGTAGCGTCAGGAGATAATGCTCCAAGTCCATGCCATGGAACTTGACCATTGACTCGTCCGCCACCACCAGTGTCTCCACGTACCGCGGGATTGACACGAAGCGCTTGGCGCGCCCAGATCTGCGCCTGTTGCGACTCTCCCCTAAACCGGTCCGCCGAGGCTTGTAAGGGTCCAGAGCCCGCAGAATGGCGGGGTTCCAGCCTGAAGCCACCCCGCAGCGAGAGGTGGGATCTCCGGCAGGCCCGCCAGGGGCGCCCCGGCGCTGGAGGAGGTGTGCGCCCTGGCTGTTGCGCTGCCCGGCGGACGCGCTGGCGTTGGGCAGCGGGCTAATGACATACTCGGCGCCTCGGTAACCGAAGGCTCCGCGTAGCCCCCCGCACAGGCTCACAGCAGCGAACGAATCCGGCTCGGCGTTCACGTCCCCAGAGTAAAAGCAACGTCGCAGGTCTGGGGAGCTCCCGGAGAGCCCCTGGAGGGGGACACCCAGATGCTCAGTGGCGAAGGCGGGCGCCAGGAACTGAGCATCTGGTGTCAGGTGTAGGTAAAAGTCCTCCTGAAACGCTGTAATCTGATAAATTAGCCCCTGATCCCCCGGGTCCTCGGGACCCTGTCGGTAGTATTGGCGGCCGTTGATGTCCGGGTCTAGTCGGATGGGCACCACCACCTCCCGCTCTGGCTCTGAGCCGCCAGCGGGTCCCGCGGCAAGAGCGAGGGTTAGGATGCCCAGCAGAAGCATGGCGCCGGGCAGCGCACAACGGTGCTATCGGAGCAGCCGCCGGCACGGTCTCTGTGCAGCCCGCGCACCGGAACCACCGACGCTCCGGCAGCCGGCAGCTCCGAGAAAGGAGAGCGAGGCGAGGACGACTCCTCCCAGAGCGGTGAGCCTGCGCCCGTCAGCCCGCGCCTCCTACCTGTGCCTCCCCAAGCAAAGCGCGCTGCGGGAACTTAAGTGCAACCGCTGTCAAGTGTAAGGACGAGGTTCTGCAGCCGAAAACTAGAGGGAGGTGCCGGGCCGCTTCTCCGAAGCGCAGCCACTCGCAGCGCCACAAACCGGGCGCTGGGCGAGCCTATTAAAGGCCCCCTTTTCTTTGGACTGCCCAGTCAGCGCCCCTCCCTCTCTCGTCTCCCAGCCTCCCAAAGCTTGCAGCTGGGAGCCTCCCGGGGCCACCGAAGAACTCGGTCCCGCCTCCGGAGCCGAGAGCCACTTGGCGGGGAGGGAGTGGCGTTGAGCTGAGGCAGGAGGCGTGGGCTGGCCAGAGAAACCGGCGCTGGAATCTCGGTTCTCGTTTTTTTGCCCTCCCGTTATGCCCCAGTGCTCTACGCACCAATTACTTCTGTCCCAGGGGACATCTACCTGTCCACTCCCTGGGCCTTAGCCTTTAGCTCCAGGCAGTCCTGGTGAGGAGCTGGGAATGAAGGCCCACCGCTGACCTCCTCTTCCCGTCCCTCCTGGTGCCGCATTCCTGCTGCTTCTTTATCACAACGTCCCCCTGAAAGACCCAGAACCAAAAATTATCCCTGCAAGTGTCCTATTGGCAGAAGGGCAGCTTCCCAGGATCATGGAAAGCCCTTCGGAAACCCAGGGCCACAAAGGCCCATAGTCTCCCTGGGGGTCGGGGTGGGGGTCCCGTGGTATGTTGGATGGATCGGTACAGATTGTTAAATTTCCAGGAATTTTGCCAGTCAGCTGTTAAACACAGCCATTACTAAAAGTTAAATTATATAAACTTACAATTATAAATTATGTTTAAAAATAAACCTCACCACTTCCTAATTGACTATTAACCTCCCAACCACCAGCCCTCCAGGACAACCCACGGCTCCCAGAAGAGAGCAGAGGGAAGTGAAGGAGGATGGAAAGGCTGAATGGTATGCTCCTCTCCACCTCCCCACTCAGGGCATCACAACGGGAGCTTCGAATAAAACCTGGTGGGAGTATTTACACCACAGAAATAGGCGAACGCTACCACTCAAGGCTTAGGGAAGAGAGGGGAGCCTTTGTTCAACACTGACCAGCCCACGGGTGCCTGGAGGGGATGGGGAGAGAGAGGTTGTCTTCTTGCCAGAGAGGGGCTGAGGGACTGCTGGACGGGAGAAGAATCAGAGGGTGCTTCCCCCATGAGTCTATCTAATTTGATCCTTGACCAAGTACGTGACACCGGAGTGAGAGACTGAGGGTGGGTGCGTAGGGACAGCTCATCAAGCCGTGAGCCCCCATCTAGTTTGAGGGGAGTCCCAGGAGCCCTGTTTCAGGCTCTGGTCCATGAGACCCTCCTTGTCTCTGAGTAAAATCAACTTTCTTCAGGCAAGGAAGAAAGGCAAGAGGAGTCAGGCGGGCTTTCCTTGTCTCTCCTGATACCTAGAATATCTTCCCACAACCAAATGGCTCTGCACTGAGTTGAGAAGAGGGGAAGACGGGATGATGAAGTATAAAAAAGGCGGTGTGGGAGAACTCTGAAATTTCCTTAGGGAAGTGACTGCCCAAGTAAACAATTCTATTGTTGACGGGAAGAGAACGTCGAGACTGGTCCATCCGTGAAGAGCACTTTTTTACCCATTATCTTCTCCCCATAAAGGATCCACTCTTCCAAGAGCCCCCTGGGGCTTTGAAACAGGAAGGCTGCCCAGATGCCCAGAGCTCCCCAGGGGCCCCTCTTCAATGGAGATTCATGGGGCTGAAATTCATTATGTGAATGAGTAAGACATGGCTGTTTATGCTCTGCAAATGAAAGGGAGAGTGTGCATATGGGGGGATTGTGTGTGAGAGAGAGGAAGTTCAAGTTTACAAAGGCCTTGTGTGTTTGAGTGTTTAAAGAGGGCCTATAATTAAAGAGAAACTCAGACAACCAAGGGCAATCATAAGCCACTTATACAGGGCAAGCAATTGTTTTCCTATACCCAGCCGTTTTAATGGTGGGTTACAAGGTTTCCAAAGACATTTTACTTTCATTCTAATCAATGGGGTTTGGCAAGGGCTGCAGTATGTCAATCAAGCTTCCCCTTCCCCAGTGACAGCCCAACTGTCTCACCCTGGAGCCCAGAAACCCGAGGTATGGACTTTCTCAAAGGCACTAGCATGCATGGAACACTTGCTCCATGCTAAATGCCGCACCAAGTGTTTCCTGCACATTAGCCTACTTAACACTGGTCTCTCGCCATCTTGGGAAGCTGCAGGTCTAGTCAATCGCTGTGCCAGGGGCTCCTAACCAGGAGCTGAGGATCTAGTATCTGCTGAAGTAGAGCTTGCAGAGCGGAGCAGAGCAGTTACCCCATTTGCATCACTGTTCTAACTGTCTGACTTAATTTTCTCACCTGTCGAAAGAGGAGCGCTTTTCCTGCACCACAGGTCTTCAGTCATGATCTGCGTTAGAAATCTCTGCTCCAGAAAAACCTAAGACCACTTCCAGATCAAATATTGCATGACTGTTTGTGGCCCGTGGAAGGCCACAGCGCGCGGTGATTAAGAGCCTAGGTTTGGAGGACCCAGATGGGCACGCCGGCTCCACCGACCGCAGCTATGCAATTGTGGATACGTTAGTCCCCAAAGCCTCAGCTTCTCCATTATTAAAATTAGGATAATAATACTACCCATCTCTCTAGTTAGTATGAGGACTAGATAAGTCAATGCCTAAACAATGCTCAGAAGTGCTTAATACATAAAAAATGTTTCTTCAATGTTACCTAGCAGTGCTGCTGTAGTTATTATTATTATTCTTTTACCACCAAGCTCCCCCCGCCCTCCGGGATGTCTGCCTCATCACCTTCTGGAGCTTTCTGCTGTTTCTAACAGGGAAGGGAGAGGAGCTAATGGGAACGCCCTCTCCAGGCTTTGCTCATAGGCTTCTAATGTCACTTTGGCAGCCCCGCGCCCACATTTGGACTCCGTAATTGGCACCCTCTTGTCTCTCTCTGTCCTCCATGATCTTGGAAAAATAAAAAGCAACTCTTTCCCCAAAAGAAAGACTGGGAGCCTAGCCCATGCTGAGAAACCTAAACACCTCAGCCTGACCTTTGACGCCCTTCAACAACTAGGCTGACATCTTTCTGCCCTTCGGGGCTCAGCCCAAGTGCCACCTCCTCAGAAAGGCCTTCCTGGGCCCCCCAACCGAAGAAGCTCCAAATCACAATTGTGATTCCCTATTTTATTGTCTCCATAGCACTCACCTCTAGTCAAATCTATTTTGTTCACTGGAATCTTTACATCGGCCTGCCTGCCTTCGCCTCCTCCCCCAGCGAGAATGCGAACTGGACCTTGTCTGTCTCATTCGCTGTCCTGTTCGCCAGGGCCTGGCACAGTGCTCTTCATTGATGCTGGCCGAGTGGACTCCAGTTCTAATCTCGGCTTGGCCACTCACGGCCTCCTCGGGAAGCCTGGAATGCCTAACACACCGCTCCCATAGTTATCACCTTCCTATAGCTCAGTGACGGAAACCTTAGCCCAGTACCCTGGTCACCTAGCGCAGTTCTCTCATTTCCTAGTTGAGGCAGCGGAGGTCCAGAGAGATCAAGTTACTTGTCTGCAGCCACCCAGCCAGCTGCTTTGCTCATCTTATAAATGCATGTCCCTTTACCCCTTTGCATGAAAACCTGGCTCTGGCTAAATTCATTAGCTCGCTGCTTCTGCTCAGAAGCTGTTCCTCCAGCACGCACAGCTTTGAGCGAGCCCCGTCTCCCGGAGAGCAGCCCTCTCGGCCTCATCTCGGCCTGTGTATGTTACTCCCTCCTCCTGCAGGGAGCAACTTAATTGGACTCACACAGACCTGGCTGCCCCATTTCTCTCTGTTTCTTCAGGACGTGTGTAATCCATTTCTAGCGTAGGAATATTCCATTTGAACTTACCTGCCCTTTGCTAATTCAGCATTAAACCCTTTTTTGCCAAGGCTGGGCTACAGCCACCCTGGACTAGAAACTCATCAAAACCAAGGCTTCCTTTCCTTTCATGCCAGTCTCCATGACAGTCCCCAGAGCATGTTTGCCTGAGCCAGGTGGGTGCAGGAGGTAGAAGATGAGCAGCCCCAAAGGATGATGCACTGAGGCCAGCGGCAGACGGCCACATAATTCAGTCTGGAGACTTAGCGTTCCCTTCTCTCAGCTCCTGATTATTCACCAACATAAGGACCAAGTACGACTTTCACCTACCTGTAAAATCAGGCATCCTGGAGTATCTCCCGCAAACAGGAATAAAAAAAATTAAGGAGAAAAGAGAGATAAGAAAGGCAGAATAAGCTCAGTGATCTCAGCAAGAGGGGAGGGAGTGGCTGAAAGAAATCTCCCAGTTCCTCAGATCAGATGCTATTAAATCATTGATTTACCACGTGAGGATTTAGACCAGGTTTTACAAAGAAAAGAGATTTAAGAACTTACTATCTTTTTTGTGCTTTGCGTCTCCGCCATTCTTGGTCAAAGATCCCTGCAGATCCCAGATGTGTTTAATCTGCTCCTCGTGGAAAGCACGCCACAGAGCTGGACAAAGCAGACACCATCTCGAAAGGCACAGGCTTTGGGCAGCTTCTTGGAAGGCACAGGGAATGAGCCGCATCCTCCACTGGCTTCCTCATGTGCTGGTCGCCTTGGCCAATCCTCTCCCAGATGTGGAGACAGCTGAAGCAGCTGGAGGTTCTTCTGAGGACCCAGGAATTACGGCTCCGGGCCTGGGTCCATTCTTCCTTGCTCAGAGGAAATATTAACTCTATTTTTTCCCTCTCAGCCATCCACTCCGTTTTTCCTTCTGAGGCT